CGTAAAGTAATTTTACTAATGATAATTAGATCACTTTGAGAAATTTCCAAAACATAGAAGGTTAAAGAAGGTTAAAATGTAACTTTAGCAAGTTTTTTGTTTCAAAAAAAAAAAACTTTGTTTCTTTACGTACGTATGTATAAAATTTTTTTATGACTGATAATCATATTTTATACTATGTATTATATGTACTGTACATACTCGGTTCATTTTTAAAAGAAATCATATCATTTCGAACATATTTACGTCAATTATGAAGAAAATAAACATTTTTTTTTTTGTTTTTTTTATTTAATTTTATATTAATTTTTTTTTTTATGCGCATACATCTTTCTTTTTTTGCCTGTATACAAAAGAATAAACAAAACCGATAAATAAAAAAAAGGTTGTGTAATGTACAAAGTGACGATTGCGATGCAATATGAAAGGAAGAGTACATGGAGAGAAAAAAGAAAAAAAAAAGAGGTAAAAAAAATCGATTTCATTATATCCGGAGAGAAGGATGCAGAGTATATATTTGTTTTTTCTTTTTAAAAAAAAAAAAATGGTAAAAATTTTTATAGATACAAACTTTATACAAAAAAATCTAAAAGTGAAAAAACTTTACTTAAACGACTAGCATTAAGAAAAGTCTAACTCAAAGATTATCCAAAAACAAACCCAACGATATAATAATATATATATATTTATATGGTTCAAGACCCATTTTTTTCATATATACACTCATATCCTTACATCCTTCCCTCCCATATAAGAAAAAAAAAAAAAAAAGACAACAAATGCCCGATGAAAGAATATGATAAGAGAAATAAAATACAATTATATAGAAAAATGTTCATATATTTCAAAGTTTTTAAAAAGTTTTTAAAGTTCGAGAGGTGGATGCTTAATGTAATTCGTTTTTAAAATATTCCATTCTTGCAAATAATAGTTCATCGAATTGATTATTAATAATATTATCATAATGATTGTTACCAACACCAGTGTTAGGGTTATTATTGTTTGGGGATTTGGTGTTGATAAAAACGGTTTGGTCTAAAAAAGGATGATCATTAAGAAGCATTATTGAAGAAGGATCAATGATTTCTTCACGGAATGTAGGTGGAAGTTCATTGATATTTTGAAAAGTCAAGTGCGGTAAATTTGAATGATTTGGAGATAATACGACTGGTTGTGATGGAATCATTGGCCACAAATCCGCAAATCCTGGGAATTGTTGTTGGGGTGTAACTGGAAGTGGAATATCTTCATTAGCACTAGTGCTAAAACTCATCCAGTCTGAAGATTCCAAAGAAGTTGGCATTGGCGAAATTGGCGTCATATTATTTTGATAACTATCGGAAACTTTTGTTGTATCTTGTCCGCTCAGGGGGTTCATTCGATTTTGTCCTTTATTTATCTTTACTTTGATTGGACCGGGTTCCACCGAGTTTGTGGAAAGTAATGGATTGGATGATTTCCGTCGTTCTCTGCGCTTCTTATCGTTCTTCCCCTTTTTGTTGGGACGGTAGACATAATTAGGGTATGCTTTCATATGTTCTAACTTTGTTTTGTCTGCCTCCCGTTCCCAGTGTAAACGTGTTTCGTTAGATTCTCCTCTCCATAAATCCGCAATATATCTCGAAATTTGAGCGTTGGTAAGATGACGGTGAGCGGCTAAGATAGCGGGTTGTTTTTCTCTTCTATAGAGAATGAATGCATTTGGGGGACGAGGAGGACGTTTTTCCTGTTGAGATTTTGAACATCCGGATGGAGATTTGTTTCCATTTTCATTCTCATCTGTTGCTGCGGCGCCAGCGGCGATAGAGGACGAATCATTGTATTGATACTCTGACTCAGAGAATGAGGTGAAAGAAGTTGTATCATAATCTACTATGATGTTGTTCTTGGTTCCAGAAACACCTGTCGAAGGTGTGAACATCAAGAGACCGCAATATTTATTTCTAGCTTCAACGTCCATTTTTTTTTGCTAAAGACCAAACAAGAAGAACAAGAGGATTAAGATTAGAAATTTCGACTTTTTTTTTTATATATATATAAATAGTGATGGCGCAGAACTCGAAGAATACTTACAATGAGGTTGATCACAAAAGGGAAAGTGAGAATATAAATTTGGATATTGTTTATATAGTTTGATAAAGTTCAAAAACTATCGCCTAGGTAAAAAAAAGAAGAGAAAAAAAAAGTTCGATAATAATGGAACGATGAGAAAAGAGACTTGCTTTTATGTGTTTTTTAAAAAAAATTGTCTTGAATTCTATTTTTGCAAATTTTGTTAGTACAGTTGTAGCCACATTTTCACAACGCTTATATATTTTTTTTTTGATAGGAAGATTTTATCTGTTACACATAACAAACGCCACTTGCAGACTTTCGGCCTTTTGACAAACATAAATGCGTCACACAAATCCGAACGTCAATTTAAAATACACATATAAAAAAAAAAAATTCAAACAATTAATTCTTATTCTTATCCAAAGTTTTAGGATTACTAACAGTAATGTTTTAAGAAGAATTTGAGGAAAAAACGGAGAAAAGACAAGCGTTTTAGAATGGTGTCATTTGATTGTTAGAAATAATTGAATTTTGTCGGCTATTTCTAAAAAATGTCGCCATAAGATTCGCCCGAATAGTAATAGTAATAGACTTATTGTTTAATAGAACAAATACTTTGATTTTTTCTCGAATTATGAAGAATGATTGGTGAAAATAAGTGCACAAAACAATAAACAAGTTAACATTATATTATTACAAGATAATAGAATGTACATATGTCTTGTATTTGAAAATTTCGTGAAATAAGTATTAAAGACAATTGTTGAAATTTCCTCATATTCATTTGACAACAATAATCAGAAACGTAAGGTTAATTATATATTTATTGGAACAATTGTGTTTTATTGTATTCCGTGTTCATTGATGAGTAAACCGTATTACCAATAAAATCTTAGACGGTTACCATGTCAGTATAAATGTATATAAATGTTATATAATGCTAAGCTAGAATAGAAAATGATTAGTTGTTTGTTTATACTTTAAATAAACGTGTGCCTATTTTATTAAATCAAAAAATTACTATAATCAATTAATTCAAATAATTAATTAACAATATGAATCTATTGTATGAAAATAATAAATATTCTTTACAATATCAACGAATTCAACGAATAGCAATGACAAGCGCATAAGCCATTGATTTAAAGTCATGTGCATAAAATCTTGAAAAATATAATATAAAAATTATCGAAAATAAAGAAAAATAAAGAAAAATAAAAGAAAAATAAAGAATTGTTAAATATCGTTACTACTGAAACCTTTATCCGTAGTAAATCAATTATGTTTATTATTAATTATGTTTATTATTTATCCGTAACTATATATACAACATTTTTCAATATATATAAATATATATATAAATGCATTTGCCCAATTATGCAATTACTTACTCAATTTACGTACTGAGAGAAAAAAAACTTTTTTTGCAGATATTACAGATGTATCGTAAACCATCTTAGACTATCTTAGAAATCATAAAGATATCGTGGATCACA